CATATTTTATTGTTGAGCAAATTGAGAGTTAGAGAAGTCAGGTGACTTACCTGAGGTTAAACAGCTACTACTAGTTCTTTCTGATTCTACCAATTCATCCATCCATTTATTTATCAATTATTTATTGAGCATCTGCTATATATTAGGCACTATTTTAGGGCTGGACATACAACAGAGATAGAACTGACAAAAATGCTCTGCCCTCATGCAGTCTACTTTCCAGTGGGCAAACACAGAAAATAAATAAAAGTGTGGAGCAGAGAATATATTCTATAGTGGGAAGAGTCATGCAGTGACAAAGTAAACTTCTTTGTTTTAGAAAAGAAAAGAAAGTGAGGAAGGAAAGTCGTGTGTGTGTGTTTATAATGTAGGTATTGCATACAGAATGGGCCGCCTCAAGAAGGAATAAAAGACCTGAAGGAGATGAGAGAAACAGCCATGTGTGAGAAATGTAATCCAGGTAGAGGAAACAACAAGCAAAGCAAAGAACAGGAATTTACCTGGTGTGTTTCAGGAACCACAAGGAGGCCAGTGTTGCTTGCATGAAATAAGTCAAGTGGAGAGTAAGTATTAGAAAGTGAAATCAGTGAGATAGCGATGGGGCAGAATTATGTAGGGATTTAAGGGCTGTTGTAAGAGAAATAGGATTTTGAGTAGAAAAGAGACATGGGATCTGATTTATGTTTTAATGGGATCATTCTGTCTACTGTCTTGAGAACAGACTGTACGGCAGCAAGGGTGAAATCAGAGAGACCAGTTAGGTAATAATCTAGCCAAGGCATGAAGATGTCTTAGTCCAGGATGGTTCCAATAGAGGTAGTGAAATGTGGTTGGATTTGCTGGATTGTTAGGTGGAGAGGATGGGATATAGAGAACATAAGGGATAATTTCAAGATTTTTTGCCTGAGCAGCTAGAAGAATGGAGTTTACAGATAATGGAGAAGACCAGGGGAGGAACAGACTTGGAGGAAGAAGATAGGAATTCATTTTGGACATATTTGAGATGCTTATCAGATACCTGATTGGAAAGATACATGATTTTGAAGTTCAGGGGAGAGTCAGGTCTGGAAATACAAAATTTGGGAGCATCAGTATGTGTATGGAATTTAAGGCTCCAAATTGGGGTGAAATTGAGAGAGATGTCTAAGATCAGAGCCTAGTGCTAGCTCAGCTCTTAGAGGCTCAAGTTCTTAATAATTGCTATCTTATACTGCTGTCTCTAGTATTATAATAGTACTCACTAAAAACCTGTGATATGGAGGCTGCCCTCAAGAAGCTTATGGTCTATGTGGAGAAACAAAATAAATGACACAAAACATTTAAATTACAATGCAAAATAACATATGATGATGACATTCATAAATGGGAAGATATACCATGCTCATGGATTGGAGGAATTAAAATTGTTAAAATGTCCCATATTACCCAAAGCAATCTATAGATTCAATGCAATCCCTGTCAAAATTCCAGTGAACTGAACTGGAACAAATTATCCTAAAATTTGTATGTAACTACAAAATACCTCAAATAGCCAAAACAGTATTGAGAAAGAAGAACAAAGCTGGAGGCATCATGCTCTTGATTTAAAATTATACTACAAAGCTATAGTAACCAAAATAGCATGGTACTGGCACAAAAGTAGGCACATCAATCAATGGAACAGAATAGAGCACAGAAAAACCCATCCTTATATGGTCAATTAGTCTACAACAAAGGACGCAAGAGTACACAATGGAAAAAACAGTCTCTTCAATAAATGGTGTTGGAAAAGTTGGACGGCTAAATGCAAAAGAAAGAAACTGGGCTACTTTCTTATACCATGCACTTAAACTAGAGATGGATTAAAGACCTGAATGAAAGACCTGAGACCATAAAAGTCCTGAAGGAAAACATAAAGCAGTAACCTCCTGGACATCAGTTTCAGTAATTTTTTTTCTGAATGTGTTTCCTTAGGCAAGGAAACTAAAGTAAAAAATAAATAATTGGGACTACATCAAGTTAAAATGCTTCTGCACAGTGAAGAGAACCATCAACAAGAGGAAAAGTAATTACTGAGTGGGAGAAGATACTTACAAATGATATATCCAATAAGGGGTTAATATCCAAAATATGTAAAGCACTCACACAACTCAACATGAGAAAAAAACCAAATAACCTGATTTAAAAAATGGGAAGAGGACCTGAATAGATGTTTTCCGAAAGTAGACATCAGATGGCCAACAGACACATGAAAAGGTGCTCAACATCATTAATCATCAGGAAAGTACAAATTAAAACCACAATGAGATACCACCTCAGACCAGTCAAAATGGTCAATATCAAAAAAAAACAAGATATAGCAAGTGTTGGTGAGGTTGTGGAAAAGGCACACTTGTGCATTGTTGGTGGGAATGTAAATTGGTGTAGCCATTATGGAAAACAATATAAAGGTTCCTCAAAAAATGAAAAATAGAAATACCATATGGCCATTATTACACTTCAGGGCAATTACCTGAAGAAAACATAATCACTAATTCAAAAAGATACATACACCCCTATGTTATTACAGCATTATTTACAATAGCCGGGATATGGAAGCAACCTAAGCATCCATTGATAGATGAATATATAGTATGTATATATACAATTGGATAGTATTACTCAGACATAAAAAGAATGGAATCTTGCCATTTGTGACAACATGGATGTACCTAGAGGTTATTATGAAGTGAAATAAATCAGAGAAAGAGAAATACCATATGATTTCTTATAGTAGAATCTAAGAAACAAACAAAACAGAAACAGTCATAAATACAGGAACAAACTGGTGGTTGCCAGAGGGGAGGGATGAACTAGGGTAAAGAGATTAAGAGGTACATGCCTGTAGTTATAAGTAAGTTATGGGGATGAAAAGCACAGCATAGAGATTATAGTCAATATTATTATAATAGCTTTGTATGGTGACAGATGGTAACTTATTGTACTGAGCATTTTATATTGTATGTAATTGTTGAATCACTAACTTGTACACCTGAAACTAATATAATACTATATCAAAATTAATTTTAAAAAAGTAACATAATTGCATGTCAAATGATTGGGACTGTAAATTTACCTATTCTGCAGATAAAAAGATTACCTGGCAGGGAAAAGATTGATGGGCATCTGTTGAAGAAAATGGGACTTGAACAGAACCTCAGTGGGCAATAAATGGGGGGAAGTGCATTTTTGGGAGGTCCCTAAGACTACCCCCAGGTTCAGTAATTTACTAAGAGGATTCATAAAACTTGGCAAAACTGTTACATAGTAGTCCTCCCTTATCCATGGGGGATATGTTCCAAGACCCATAGTGGAAGCCTAAACCCTCAGGTAGTACCAAACCCTATATATACTGCTTTTTCCTGTACATAACGTATCTATGATAAAATTTAAATTATAAATTAGGCACAGTAAGAGATTAACAAATAATTTAAAAGAACAATTATAATAATATGCTATAATAAAAATTATATTGAATGTGGTTTCTCTCTGTCAAAATGTCTTAGTTTTGTACTCACCCTGATTCTTGAGATGATGTAAGAAGATAAAATGACTATGTGATGAGGTGAAGTGAGGTGAGTGATGAAGGCATTGTGGCATAGTGCTAGGCTGCTATTGATTTTCTGACTATACATCAGGAGGATAATCTGCTTCTAGACCATTGTTGCCCGAGGGTAACTGAAACCATGGAAAGTGAAACCACAGATAAAAGGGAACTGCTGTATTCACAGTTACTGTTTGTTACAGCACAAGAGTACAGATTAAAATTAGCAAGAGGAAAAAAAAGAAACGCCAAAGGAACCTTGTCCAGAGTAAAATTGTTAATACAACTCCCGAGAAGGATTTAAATGATATGGACCTCGTGACTCTTCCTGAAAATTAGCAAGAGGAAAAGGGCACATAGGCAGGGTCTAGGAGAGTTCCAGGAGGGAGCTTCCAGTTGCCCTTTCCTAGTGGAATCATGTGGATAGCATTTGCTTCTCCCAGCAGTGATGTTTGGCAACACTTGCAGAGTGTTGTCAACCAAGGAAGCTGACCAAGCCATGGTATCCAGGGTTTTTACTGGGGGTTGGTCACATAGACATTGTTGACTGCCCGAGTTGCTAACCTTAGTCTACAGCCCTGCCAGAGCTGATACCATGTGGCCTGAATGAAGCCCCCATCTACTATAAATCACACCATGAGGCATATTGTTAGCTTAGACTGTTTGGCATTGTCCAAGGCCCCCAAATATGTAAAGACATCAGGTAGGACATTCTGAAGTCTTACCTCCCAGGAAGTTGGGGCAAGGGCCAACCCTTTTTTTGTGCAAGATTAATCCTTTCCTGCATGGCAGCAGGTGGGGGGTTGCCATCTATGTGGAGACAGCGTGAGCTGAGATACAGTAGGAATGTGTACATCATGTTTAGAGAACATTGTGGTGGCTGCAGTATAGACTTGTACTTGATATATGAACTCTGCAGTCAGACTATACCAGGACTCATATTCCAGCTGTCTCTTGCTAGTTGTGGAATTTATGGCAGTTACATAACTGTAACTTACCTGTAGCAAGGGTAATAAGAATACCTACTTCATAGTCTTGTGATCAAAGAGTTAATATATAAAGCATTTAGAATATGTCCTGACACAGCAAATGCTATAGAAGTTAAGGGTTTATTCATTTGTTACTTAATCATTTACTCTGGTTCTTTTTTGAACACTAGTGTGTTAAAGACTCATCTCTTGAGCCTCAGACCTGTATTTCCAGATTCCTACTGATATATCATGGAGGGCTTGTAGCTTTTTGAATATTAATATGCTCAAAAAGAAATTAAATATTTTTCAACCAAATTATTTCTGTTAATGGCAGTACTATCAATCCAGTTTTTTCTATTCAGAGATTTGAGGTATCAGCTTTCGTAAAGTTTGGGCTTAATAAAGAATAAATTTTGGTTAATTGGGAAGCTTAATGTCAACTTTTATTTCTTTTTACATATATACAGGTCTGTGTATGATGACCAACCAAATGCACACAAGAAGTTTATGGAAAAGTTAGATGCTTGTATCCGTAATCATGACAAGGAAATTGAAAAAATGTGTAATTTTCATCATCAGGGGTTTGTAGATGCTATTACAGAACTCCTTAAAGTAAGGACTGATGCAGAAAAACTGAAGGTAAGTAATTTGTTGAAATTCTATTTACCTTTGCTCTCATTAATTACTCAAGTATTGGTTTATAGTGCACATATAAAAATCTATTAAATGTACTACTTTCAGGAAGTGAATTAGTGTGCTCTATTAACATGGTTGTCATGCTAATGACAGGAGTAATCTCTTTTTTTTTTTGAAGCAAGTAATATATTGATTTAACAGGATTTCTTTCTGTGCAAGGAAATGAATTCAAAAAATTCATTCAATGAAAGACCTCATTTGTAGTTTACAATTTTTAAAATGACAGTACAGTACTGATGAAACTCTATCTTCTAAAAACCTTTAGAAACTTGTAAATGATTGTATTCTATAAAATATCAAATAATATTGAAACTTTGTTTTTAGTTTAGTACTGATGCATTATTTTCTGAAAGAAGTTGGTAGGCATTTTCTGCCACATAGCAAAAACCTTAATTATTAAGTGAGACCTGGATTTGTTCAGTCAGAATACAGAATATTTAGTTACAAGAATTGTTCTATTTACCTGTCTTTACATTTGGAGAGCTCAGCAGACAGAATGACTCTGGTTCACCAAAGGTTATGATTAGAAAACCATTATATAAAGGATATTCAAATAACAAGAGACCAAATACAGCATCAATGAGGTCACCGAGCATCTTTGTTCAGAAATTAATGAGATTTTTAATAAACCAGTATGTGCTTCCTTACTATAATGACCTAATGAGTCACTTAATTTGTGGGAAAATTTGAGGTTGAGCTTTCTTTGCCTGCACCTGCAGCATCAAAATGTTGCTGTGGATGGAGATCTCTGTGTTTGATGTTAATCAACCACCCAGTGTTTGCATTCAGTAAAGTATGAATGTTTAATTACCATAAAATGCAATCACCATTTCCTACAGACAATGAATGGCACATAGACCTCATTGAAAGTTATCAAAAAGGGTCCAGTGGTCAATTGGGTCAGTGATTTGAATTGTTTGACAGACTTAGAGAAGCAAGTAAACTTCAAAAATCTAGACTGAATTTGAGAAGTTTGCCACAGAATCTGTTAAAAAGAACTGTCATAAGTAATTAAAGTTAACTGAAGCCCTTTTCAATGAAAAGTTCAATTTCAAGCTGTAGAGTTAATTTGAATTTGCATTTCTTTGTTTTAAGTTTCTCATGAAGCATGATCTGATTACAAGGCTAAGCAGTTATATCAGGAAGGTTTTAGGCATATTTGTCTAACGAAAGTGAAATTGTTTTTAAGGTGCAAGTTACTGATACCAACCGAAGATTTCAAGATGCTGGAAAGGAGGTGAGAAAATGATGCATTGTTTGTGTACTCAATATATGAATGCAGTTTAACTGTTCATTTTAAAATACGAACGTCTCTTTTTTTCTAAGGTGATAGTCCAAACTGAAGATATTATTCGATGTAGAATTCAGCAGAGGAATATTGTAACTGTAGTAGAAAAGTTGCAGTTATGCCTTCCAGGTGAGTTAAATTTGTCTATAATGGTAACTTGTGGCTTCATACAATTATAATTTAATGATAGTGCATAGTCATTTTTCATTAGGAGAATTACAGATTATTTGGTGATTGCCCCCCCCAAAAGCCCATGGTTATCTTTCCTGTCAACTTTATTCCCTGAATTTTCCTGGTTTTCCTGTATTTATAAAGCCTCTGTTTTGATGATCTGTCCCATCAGTGGTTTAGAACAGCCTCTGCCTTTCTATTTCCTTCCTGCCTAGTTTGTTCTTTGTCCCTCAATCCTCCTCCCCCAGCCCCGAACTATTTTTGTTTTTCCTCAGAATAGTTTCCCCTAGGGAGAGGTATTTTGATTACATCTTCTCACCTTTCCCTAATTTGACTAATTTTTTTTTTACCTCTGACTTCCCATTGTCTTCTGTTTGTCACTTAAGCAGATTGTTTTTACTTTGCTCAATCTCATTTTGCTGACAAGGTAAGAAAATACCGAAAGTGCTAGGTCTTCACCCTCCTTCGGTCTTGCCTTTCCTCCCGTATTTTGGAAAGACTGACTATAGGTTTCTGAGTTTCTGGTCTCTCTGTTAGGGCTCAAATATTACTGGGACATCAAATAAATTCTGAAGAAATTAACCAGTATTTTCTTTACCTGGATGTATCCTGTTCAAACAAAAGGAAGCAGGTATATGTCATCTTTTTCTCTATATAGTAAGCTAGATCTCAGAGTCTGTATTTTAACTTTTTTTTTTTAAAGGAACTTCACCTCCACATCCTGAGCAATAGAATGAGGTTTTTGTATAATATTTGTATAAGTTTAGCTTACAAGTTCTGTGTATCAGCTTTTATTAACCAAAAAACTTGTTTCCTGTCTTATGAGAATAGCTTTTCTTGTTTTAGAATCTCTGAAGTTCTACTTGGTGTATGATGGACCAGGGATATTTGTAACACATTAACTTTGAATAAGTAAAATGTCTGCTTATTATATTAGGTTTTAAGGATTAAGAAACCTGCTTTCTTACAGTAATGTTTAATACTTCTTTGCCACCATCAGATTCACTGAAATAGCCATGAAGACAGTCTGTAAGTTTGAATGCTTTGTCCCTGAATGGTAATTATCCTGAAAAAGTGGGTCTGGTAGAATGAGAAAAGCTGAATTTAGCTTATTCCTGCTGTGGGCTATTTGAAATACAGAAATAAAAGGAAGTAGAGGTTAGATTTTTGTTACTGCTACTATCTTTGCTTTCAAGATTGGACAAGAAATCTGAGTTTGTATAGACATTGTGTTCCTAATAGTCACCTGTCCTTCTGTCTAATTAATCCATGCATAAATAACTTTTTTGTGTCAGGCATTATGATAGATATTAGAAATATAAAGTTGAAAATGACCTAGTCCCAGCTTTGAAGGATCATACAGTCTAATGTGAATAAAAACAAGCAAGCCATCAGTTACTGTACAAATGCCTACCTCTTCTTTGGGTTAGGAGGAGCATGAGAGGATAAAATAAGTGTGAGAGAACAATCCATTTATTAGTTTTATTTGATTATTTTTGAAGAAAGCATTTTTTTTACATGGAAATAATACATGGTAGATAGGAAATTTACATGAATCATTGAGATAAACAAGAGACTTCAAAGAAACTTTTTACTTGGAGAGGCAGTTTACGCTTTTTCCCAGATTATGTGTCTATTCTAATGCTTTGGTTGGAAATGTGAGAAATAATTGCATTAGGACACAGTGTCTGTGATAGAGATAATACATAGGATCTACAAAGTTAGGGCTGGTTCACTATATACCCACCACTGAGGTTTTATGGTTCTCAGACAGGTAAGCAATATCTTTTATAAACTTGAAGACCCTGAAGGAGTAGCCATAAGACTAGAAAATATGGAAAAAAATGATGTCTATCTCTCTGGTCTAGGAAAATGTAAACTGGCTTGATGAGCCAATAATAATGTTCACATTCATTTTAGACTTTGAAACTCTAAGGATGATGGTAATTTACATAGTTCAACTAAAACTTTTGGTGGCAGTGTGTCATCTTCATGAAGCTTTTAACAATTTTATTGAATAATTGCATTTCTAAACCTTTGATAGTAATGATAAAATGAATAAAGATACCTTGTTTTGTTTATTTATGGTTTTATTATAATATACTCTCTGATGTAGGCTTTTGCAGTTTCTCTTGTGGGTTTGGAGTGAAATTTTGTTTAGTGAGTTACAACATGGTTGTGTTATATTATTTGATACATTAAATTAAAATCAATCAAACTCACTGTTGCTCAACTTTCTCAAATAACTGAAGATCAAACTTCCACTTCCACTGCAGAGAAGACGTAGTAGTAAGTTTCTAGGTATAATAATTGTTAGTAGGTTAATTTCTCAGTTTTAGGAGTCAGCATTTTCAAGTGTTCCAGAGTTCAGTAAGTGTATACAATATAATGTACAATATATATAGGAATTTAAATGTTTTTATTTATTTGAAATATAAAATTTTATTTGAAAATGAAAGCTTAAATCAAAGTATAGAGAAAATTAGTAAATTTACAGTATGTTCTTTCCTGCTTTAAATATTTTTACCTCTGAAAAAAATTTTTTCATTTTCAAAGCTAAAATAAGTTGTATTTTTTAATGCAGTGCTGGAAATGTACAGTAAGCTAAAAGAACAGATGAGTGCAAGAAGGTGAGTTGGTTTCTTTCCTAATTGTTTTTAATGAGAATCTTTTTTTCTTAATACCAAAAGCATAGAAAACTTACTGTAAATTATAGTGAATGAGATGAAGTTTTGCTTTCTACCTTTAATAAATCTGTTTTCATGTAATTTGCCATCAGGCTCATCTAATAAAGTAATTCTTAGCTATTTATTTGAAGATCCCTGTCCTTGTAAATGATACAGAAGATTGATAATATTCATGAAGGGAAAATAGTTAACAGGAATGAAAAAATACTGATTATCTGTTAACACTATACAGTCAAAGGCTAAGTATTGTGGGCCCACAAGGAAAAGCAGAGTGTAGGTAGTTGTATTTTGACAATCTGGCAAGCTAGTATAGTTCATTTCCTCTTTTATTACATGAATGAATATATGATAAATGAAAAATAATTTAGTTTATTGATTGCCATAGAAGCCTGAGGTGTAATAATGTTTAAAGTGTTTTATTTTATTTTATTATTATTCTTTTCTTTTTTCTTTTTTCTTTCTTTCTTTATTTTATTTTTTTATTTTTTATTAAGGTATAATTGATATACACTCTTATGAAGGTTTCACATGAAAAACAATGTGGTTACTACATTTACCCATATTATCAAGTCCCTGCCCATACCCCAATGCAGTCACTGTCCATCAGTGTAGTAAGATGCCACAGATCCACTGTGTGCCTTCTCTGTGCTACACTGTCTTCCCTGTGATCCCCCACACCATGTGTACTAAACATAATACCCCTCAATCCCCTTCTCCCTCCCTCCTGACCCCACCCTCCCTTACCCCTCCCCTTTGGTAACCATGAGTTCATTCTTAGAGTCTCTGAGTGTGCTGCCATTTTGTCCCTTCAGTTTTGCTCCATTGTTATACTCCACAAATGAGGGAAATCATTTGGCATTTGTCTTTCTCCACCTGGCATATTTCACTGAGGATGAGGTCCTCCAGCTCCATCTGTGTTGTTGCAAATGGTAGGATTTGTTTCTTTCTTATGGCTGAATAGTATTCCATTGTGTATATGTACCACATCTTCTTTATCCATTCATCTACAGATGGACACTTAGGTTGCTTCCATATCTTGGCTATTGTAAAAAGTGCTGCAGTAAACATAGGGGTGCATATGCCTTTTTGAATCTGAGAAGTTGAATTCTTTGGGTAAATTACAAGGGGTGGGATTCCCGGGTCAAATGGTATTTCTATTTTTAGTTTTTTGAGGAACCTCCATATTGCTGTCCACAATGGTTGAACTAGCTTACATTCCCACCAGCAATGTAGGAGGGTTCCCCTTTCTCTGGATCCTCGTCAACATTTGTTGTTCTTAGTCTTTTTGATGCTGGCCATCCTTACTGGTGTGAGGTGATATCTCATTGTGATTTTAATTTGCATTTCCCTGATGATTAGTGATGTGGAGCATCTTTTCATGTGCCTGTGGGCCATCTGAATTTCTTCTTTGGAGAAGTGTCTCTTCATATCCTCTGCCCATTTGTTATTCAGGTTATTTGCTTTTTGGGTGTTGAGGCATGTAAATTCTTTATATATTTTGGATATTAACCCCTTGTTGGATATGTCATTTACAAATATATTCTCCCATACTGTAGGATGCCTTTTTGTTCTGTTGATGGTGTCCTTTGCTGTACAGAAACTTTTTAGTTTGATCTAGTCCCATGAGTTCATTTTTGCTTTTGTTTCCCTTTCTTGAGGGGATGCATTCAGGAAGAAGTTGCTCATGCTTATATTCAGGAGATGTTCACCTATGTTGTCTTCTAAGAATTTTATAGTTTCATGAGTTACATTCAGGTCTTTGATCCATTTTGAGTTTACTTTTGTGTATGGGGTTAAACAATAATCCAGTTTCATTCTCTTACATCTAGCTGTCCAGTTTGGCAACACCAGCTGTTGAAGAGGCTGTCATTTCCCCACTGTATGTCCATGGCTCCTTTATCATATATTAATTGACCATATATGGTTGGGTCTATATCAGGGCTCTCTAGTGTGTTCCATTGGTCTATGGGTCTGTTCTTGTACCAGTACCAAATTGTCTTGATTACTGTGGCTTTGTAGTAGAGCTTGAAGTTGGGGAATGTAATTCCCCCTGCTTTATTCTTCCTTCTCGGGATTGCTTTGGCTATTCGAGGTCTTTTGTGGCTCCATATGAATTTTAGGATGATTTTCTCTAGTTCATTGAAGAATGCTGTTATTTTGATAGGAATTGCATTGAATCTGTAGGTTGCTTTAGGCAGGATGGCCATTTTGGCTATATTAATTCTTCCGATCCATGAGCAAGGGATGTGTTTCCATTTATTGGTATTTTCTTTAATTTCTCTCATGAGTGTCTTGTAGTTTTCAGAGAATAGGTCTTTCACTTCTTTGTTTAGGTTTATTCCTAGGTTTTTTTTTTTATGCAACTGTGAATGGAATTGTTTTTCTGATTTCTCTTTCTGCTAGTTCATTGTTAGTGTATAGGAATGCCACAGACTTCTGTGTATTAATTTTGTATCCTGTAACTTTGCTGAATTCAGATATTAGATCTAGTAGTTTTGGAGTGGATTCTTTAGGGCTTTTTCTGTACAATATCATGTCATCTGTAAATAGGGACAGTTTAACTTCTTCCTTGCCAATCTGGATGCCTTTTATTTCTTTGTGTTGTCTGATTGCCATGGCTAGGACCTCCAGTAATATGTTGAACAGAAGTGGGAAAAGTGGGCATCCTTGTCTTGTTCCCGATCTTAAAGGAAAAGCTTTCAGCTTCTCGCTGTTAAGTATAATGTTGGCTGTAGGTCCGTCATATATGGCCTTTATTATGTTGAGGTACTTTCTGTTGAGAGTTTTTATCATGAATGGATGTTGAATTTTGTCAAATGCTTTTCAGCATCTATGGACATGACCATGTGGTTTTTGTCCTTCTTTATGTTGATATGGTAGATGATGTTGATGGATTTTTAAATGTTGTACCATCCTTGCATCCCTGGAATAAATCCTACTTGATCATGATGGATGATTTTTTTGATGTATTTTTGAATTCAGTTTGCTAATATTTTGTTCAGTAATTTTTCATCAATGTTCATCAGGGATAGTCATCTGTAATTTTCTTTTTTTGTGGGATCTTTGCCTGGTTTTGGTTTTAGAGTGATTCTGGCCTCAGAATGAGTTTGGAAGTATTCCTTCCTCTTCTATTTTTTGGAAAACTTTAAGGAGAATGGGTATTAGGTCTTCACTAAATGTTTCATAAAATTCAGCAGTGAAGCCATCTGGTACAGGCATTTGTTCTTAGGTAGTTTTTTGATTACCTGTTCGATTTTCTTGCTGGTAATTGGTCTGTTCAGATTTTCTGTTTCTTCCAGGGTCAGCCTTGGAAGGTTGTATTTTTCTAGAAAGTTGTCCATTTCTTCTAGGTTATCCAGTTTGTTAGCATATAATTTTTCATAGTATTCTCTAATAATGCTTTTCTATTTCTGTGGTATCCATACTGATTTTTCCTTTCTCATTTCTGATTCTGTTTATGTGTATAGACTCTCTTTTATTCTTGGTAAGTCTGGCTACGGGCTTATCTATTTTGTTTATTTTCTCGAAGAACCAGCTCTTGCTTTCATTGATTCTTTCTATTGTTTTATTCTTCTCAATTTTTTTTATTTGTGCTCTAATCTTGATTATGTCCCTCCTTCTACTGACTTTGTGCCTCATTTGTTCTTCCTTTACTAGTTTCATTAATTGTTACTTTAGACTGCTTATATGGGATTGTTCTTCCTTCCTGAGGTTGGCCTGTAGTGCAGTATACTTTCTTCTTAGCTCAGCCTTGGCTGCATTCTGTGGAATTAATGGAATTAATACATAAATCAAGTAATATAGAAATCAAGTATGCAAATACGTATGACCTGATTGTTTCTCCTACGACTCCTGATGCATGATCAATAACAAAATGACTAAAAAGAAAACAGTTCCTACAACTCGTGACCACCCTCACATGGTTTTGGTGTCCTTGGGGAGCATCATGCCCTTGGGCTGGACTCAAGGTCAGATAATGATTGTGTGTTGATCATGTGTTGAACCCCCTACTCCAAGTTCTGTGGATGTTTGGGTTCGTTTGCTCAATAAATTTGAGAAGTGCCTTTTTGGCATTACTTTTGCACTGTTACACCTTGAGTCCCCTGGCTGATCCTTTCAGGTCTTCTGTATCTCATCACGTCTCCTCCCTTATCTGTGGGTCAGAGGCAGGGAGGGACTGACAGTGTCCCACAGATTTTGCAATGTTGAATTATTGTTGTCATTTGTCTCCATATATTGCTTGATCTCTGTTTTTATTTGGTCATTGATCCATTGGTTATTTAGAAGCATGTAGTGAAACCTCCATGTGTTTGTGGAATTTTTCATTTTCTTTGCATAATTTATTTCTAGTTTCATACCTTTGTGATCTGAAAAACCATTTGGTACAATTTCAATGTATTTGAATTAACTGAGGCTCTTTTTGTGGCCTAGTATATGATCTATTCTTGAAAATGTGCCATGTGCACTTGAGAAGAATGTGTATTCTGCTGCTTTAGGGTGTAGAGTTCTGTAGATGTCTGTTAGGTGCATCTGTTCTAATGTGTTGTTAGGTGCCTCTGTGTCCTTACTTATTTTCTGTCTGGTTGATTTGTCCTTCAGAGTGAGTGGAGTGTTGAAGTCTCTTAGAATGGAGTTTTAAATTCAGTTATTTTTTAATTTCCCTTTTTAATTCAGTTAGTATTTGTTTCACATTTGGAGGTGGTCCTGTGTTGGGGGCATAGATATTTATAATGGTTATATCTTCTTGTTGAATTGAACCCTTGTCATTATGTAATGTCCTTCTTTGTCTCTTGTGACTTTCTTTGTTTTGAAGTCTATCTTGTCTGATACAAACTCCTGCTTTTTTCTCTCTGTTAGTTGCATAAAATATATTTTTCTGTTCCTTCACTTTTAGTCTGTCTATGTCTTTGGGTTTAAAGTGAGTCTCTTGTAGGAAGCATATA